GGGAGGCGGCCACGGGACGCCGGGGCGGGCGGTGACTCCCTCCGGTGCTCCCGGCTTGGGCCGTGGAGCCCCTGGCCGGGCCCTCCCTTTATCTCCCATTCGTTAGCAAACACTGGCACGCCGTGCACCCTCGTGTGCTCAGTCGGGTTGTCTTCGTCTTATCCTGACAGCCTCACAGTTGTACCCCAGCTCCCCCCGGGATTTCCGGGGACTGTCGGGTGTCTTGTAAGGTTTAGGACACAGCACGGTGGACAGGATGCTCCCGCCTCGTCCCGAGGAAGCCGCTCGGGGGCCTCGTCTTCAGGACCGCGCACTGTCGCCTCGACGGCGCCGGGGTCACCTGTAGCCCGTTCGGAGGGGGAAGGGACGTGCCTTCCACGCCCACCCGCTATCTGTGTCGGGAGTCTAGAAGGCCGAGCGCGAGGGCCTAAATTAAACAGGAGAGCCCGAAACCGGAGTCGGCGATTGCGATCGCGATCGCGATCACATAGACCTTGAAGACTGATGCCAGGCCCATGCGTTGTTCTCGTAGGAAGTGCTTGGCTCCAGCAGACCTAAAACCCGGCCTGGTTTGAATCCTTCTGTTTGCAGCCCCCAATATCCCCGCTTTTGCCGCCGGCTGAGATTGCTGCTGATTTTCTTCGTGCCGTTTTAGGACGCTTGTACTCGTGAACCAGCCAGTTTCCATATGTGAAATCAGAATTAAGGACACCTAGCCTTTTTGTCAAGTGCTTAAAAAGCTGTCAGTAAAGGAGGTAAACAGTGCAGTGACACACGGACGTGTGTAAGAACGGAAGCAGAGTGTCCAAAATTTCGTCTTAATAGGCTCAAAGCAGTGAGAGTGCCTAATTAGAAAATCGAAATTTTTTTTTACCTAGATCTCAAGGCTTTTGAGAGGAGACTTACTGAATATATCCATTGCTTGCAACCTGCCACTGGACGTTGGAGAAGTAAGTTCCTGAATATTTTTAAGAGAAAATAAGGAACAGTTGATACTTTTATACCTATTTAGGAATGATTTGCTTTTGTGTAAGATGTTTGAGTAAATGTATGCAACATTCTAAACAATGCATTATAAAGAAATTTTTAAGAAAAGGAAATCATAACAGACCTCCCTAAAAGAAAAATGTATTTTGGATGGTTGAATTTTTATTTTTCTATTAAAATACATTTTAATTGTTTAAATATTACAACTTTGATTTAAAAAGCATATATAATAAAAATTTTAGGGCCAGGCATGGTAGCTCTTAGCAGTAATTCCAGTGCTTTGAGAGGCCAAGGCAGGAGGATTACTTGAGCCCTAGACTTCTAGGCTACAGTGAACAAGAATCACACCACTACACTCCAGTGTGGGTAATAGAGCAAGACTTTGTCTCTAAAAAACAAACAAAAACATTTCAGTAGTCTGTTTAGCAGTTTTATAATTTATCTACAAACTTGAAATGAAATTTTATTCAGAAAAATCAGCCAGGTATAGTGGCTCATACTTGTAATCCCAGCACTTTGGGAGGCCAACCAGGAGGATCACTTGAAGCAAAAGGTTTAAGACCAGCCTGGGAAACAAAGTGAGACTGTCACTATAAAATTTTTTTTAAATAGCCAGGCAGGCCTGGCGCGGTGGCACAAGCCTATAATCCCAGCACTTTGGGAGGCCAAGGTGAGAGCATTGGCTGAGATCAGGGGTTGGAGACCAGCTGGGCAACTTGGTGAGACCTCATCTCTACAATAAATCAACAAAATTAGTGAGGTGTGGTAGTGCACACCTGTAGTTCCAGCTACATGAAAGGCTGAGGCAGAAGGATCACCTGAGCCCAGGTAGATCGAGGCTGCAGTGGCTGTGAGCGTACCACTGCACTCCAACCTGGGCATCAGGGTGAGACATCAACTCAAAAAAAGCTAGGCATTGTGGTATACATCTATAGGAAGCTGAGGCAGGAAGGTCGCCTGAGCCCAGGAATTCAAGGCTGCAGTGAACCAGCGTCACACCAACTGCATTCCACCCTAGGTGACAGCCTTGTCTCTAAAAAAATAATAATAAAACAAAATAATAATTTTTTTTTTTTTGAGTTGGAGTCTCACTGTCGCCCAGAATGGAGTGCAGTGGCCACTCCTGGCCACCTAAATCTCGATGAGCTGGTTTCCAGAGATACTTTTATATTTTACTTCCGCCTCACTATGATAAAAATTACCCCCTAACAGTACTACAAATACATATTTTGATATTTTAACCATGAAAAAATTGGAATTACTTAAAGATGGATTCAGCTTTATTAATTTATATTCAGAGTTATAGAAAGTACTAGTTTTGAATATTTGGTGTTTGACACTTGATGAATTTTTTTCACACTCTTCATTGAACAGTGTGTTTACAAAGGAGTAAAGACATTATACACACACACACACACACACACACACGCACACACACACACAATGGAACTATTGCGGTTGTAATATCCCCTTCCAATAAGTGAATTCTTTTTCCTTTCAAAAGCTTAGACTTTTAAAAAATACCTTATTTTGAGAAAAGTTGTTGACTAAAATAAAGAGTATCATTGAACCACTCAGAGTGAAAAGAATGGAAATCTTTTGGAGAGTATACAGTAGTTAAACTAGCAGTGTAACTTGCTGAAAGGAAATGGAACAAAAAGTCAGCCAGATCAAAGTTTGACTCCTGCATCTAATTCTAGTTTCTTGCATAACC